TGATAGATACAGAATGTTTCAAGGAGCTGAATGTATTTGGTCCAGATGGAGCCATACCTTCTGATCTGGACTGGAAGGGGCAGCAGCCTACCCTTCCCAAAAAGGGTCTACTCCAGCGTCTCTTCAGCCGACAGGTAATTCATCTGAGAGGTGAGAGTGGGACTGCCTGAGCTGGAGATCTCATTTCCCTCCAAACCCATTTGTTTGGAATGGTCCCCTTCAGCTCTTTGCATTAGGTATCTTTCTGCAGCCATACATCTCAGCTTTCCCAGCATTCCCTCTGCTGGAGCATCCCTAGGACACAGTTAACTTAGTTGACTGGCAAGATCCTTAAGGACTCAAGATGTAAGTCCTTAATGTCCAAAGCAACTTACACCCTGAATGATCAGGAAAGGGTTTAGTAAGCAATAGGTTTCAGTTCCCAGACTTGGAATGTATTTGAGTGTGACTGGCAGCAAAGTATATTATTATTCTAGGCTTATTTGCTTTGGGTTATAACTGATAAACAGTCATGCTCCTTTTGATTGTATTAGCCTTATGACCCCTGACGAACAAATAAAAGTATTTATCTTATTTTGATATATTTTTATCATACCTTTCTGTTGAAAAGATTTTAAGGCAATGTACAACAAGTAAAAGCAATTAAATAACAGCAATATTGTAAGATTATTAAACCAAAGGGATATCGCTGTGTATTGACCAAAAATGAAATTGTTAAGAGCAGTTTAGCAGGCTAGATTGAAAAGATATTTCTCTTATTTATTTATTTTTCTTGAAATAGAGCTAGGATCAGTTGAATCTCTTAAGGAAGACCATTAAATTGTTTAGGGGCAGCCAAGAAGAAATCTCTTCGATCTGTATCTAATAAATAGTATTTGCAAATTATGTCATCTCAGAAGGGCATCTTCTGTATATACTGATAAACAAGTTTATAAAGAAGCAGGCAGCCCTTTAAACAGCCATTTCATACGTTTTTAAGGCTTTAAAATAAAGACAAATACTTTGAATGGAGGCCAGAAAACAATCAGCAGTTATGCAGATTTTTCAATATTGGTATAATATGATGTTAATATTAAGTAATGGTCAAAAGCCTACCTACAACCTTTTATGTAAGTAGAAGTTTCTGGATGCTTTTTACATGTGGCTATAAATGTGTTGGTGAAGTCTAAACATTATGTGGCCGAGGCGTAAATCATAAGGCCAAATTATACCAACACAGTAAAGGTCACAGCTGGAGCACTTAAGTGTAATTATGCAAACACTTCTTGCCAAAGTTACAAGTTTGATCTTTCAGCAGGACGCAACCTCTTTCAAAACAAGTACTCTCTTCATCAGCAGCACTGGACTTGCAAGTGCTCCTTCTTTACGAGCCCAGGCAGGATTCAAGGATATCAGCTGTTTCCTTCATACTAGTTGCCCAAGAATGATAGAGCTGAATGTCATCAGCATATCGGTGCTCTCTCGCTTCAGAATTCCAAGTGATCTCTTCCGCCTAGCTTCATGTAGACGTTGAATAAGGAAGAGCACATGACAATCCCGCACAACATCCTGGGAGAAAAGGGTTAATTATTGCCTCCTGTAACCCTTCTGCTAAGAAACATTAATCTTCTTCCTTTCCCATGACATCAATCTTGTTAGCTTATTTAATTAGCAAGGAGGGGCAGTGGTTAGATAAACATGTAGTAGCCTTCACTGCTCTAGATACCCAGTTCACCTCCTTAAGACATACCAGCTCAGAGGATTCCAATGAACCAGGTAAGTAGCTGCCAGAGTTATATCAAGTTGTATTAATTTGACCCTGCTCCAATAATGAAGTCCCAGTCAGAGTGAACATTCTTTTATCTACCAAGAATGATCTAATTCTGCCATTAGAGGAAGGTCAAATTAGGAATGATAAGAATAAGCCATTTCCATATTCAGCACAAGCAGGCTTTGACACTCTCATTAAAAAATGAGGCAGGACATTCCCTAAGCCCCTTCAGGAGGCCATTTTGATCTATTTACTGTTTAGGAAGAAGTCCGTACTATAACCAGTCCAGAACAAACCATTATGTTATTAGACCATTATAATAAAGAGAAATCAGAAGGAATCCAATAGCACCTTTTTAGACTAGCCAATTTTATTAAAAGGCATAAGCTTTTGTGAGCTATGCTTAGGGTGCTCTGTTGTATACATGGCATCATATATTCATTGGCACATGTTGCTGATTGATATGAAATCCTGGGTTACTACTAACTGAACAAACTTGATGGGTTTGTTGAAATCACCAGGACGAAGTAACCTGAGATGGTCCAGCATGAACTCCCAAAGTTGTTCCATGTTGCTCAGGATTGAGACAATTGGGTAGCAGGTCAGAGGGGATATCATTATACTTTCCTGATTGTCACCTCACGTACTCAAAATTAGCAGACTGTTGAATGGTTCATCTGGCTAGAGATTTAGCATTCCCAAGCATTCCTGCTACTCCTCCCAGCCTTGCTTGATAGACAGAGAAGAGTCAAATACTCATCCATTTTCCTTTGGTCAGACCTCTGGGATATATGCTAGGTCTGGTTTCGTCATCAAAAAATCAAATCCTGGGGGAGTGATGTCTTCCCAGTAACTGACCAGGAGTCTAAATGCAGTAAGGCTATCACGTCTGAGTTAAAGAACCTGAAATGGCAACTAGCTGGCAGCTAATAGCCACCTTGATGGAGTTTTTCTGGTCATCCAGAGTTTTGCATCCCAAATAGAGTAGCTCTATGTTAAGGTCACAAGAACTACCTCTGTAATTATCTCATCTTCCTTACTGAAGTAGCAGCCTGAATGGAGGAATAAGTTTAAAGGCCCACTGTCTGTTCTTTGCAGTGACGATAATCACTGGGGAAGCCATTTCCATTAAGGTCCATTTAATGTAAACATTCCATTTGCTCCTAAATATGTGGCTGTGCCTTTAAAAGTCCTCCTGGGACAGCAGCAGAAAAGCAGGGGAGCCTCTTTGCTGGGAACAAGCTCCCCGCCCCAGGGCAGCAGCATCCCATTTTAGCCCTGTCTTCAAAGGGTGATGAGGCTGAGGCTGCTGACGTGCCTCTTGAGAAGCAAGAAGTAACCCTGCATCTTCTTAAAGGCCTGTTGTCCATACTGGGCCAGAACTGCTATGTCCTGTTGGGAAAACGCTGAGCCAGCAGAAGCAGGAGAGCTCAGAACACCTGAAGTTTCCATTGTTTTCACCGAAGATTGTTCCTTTTCCTTTGCATGGCTTCCACAGCCCCCACAGCTACCATGTAGTTGAAGAACAATGCTGTGTGCTTTCTTTTTATTATTTATTTTACTTTCATGCATATAATAAACAAGGGCAATTTTGAACTGGCCTCTACCCTCCATGGGTACTTGCCACTTTCCAGTAAAACTCAACAGCCTGCTGTGGTGGCTGTTTGATGGCGGCTGTCTTTAGAAAAGAGAAGGGCTACCTGGCTGGGCCTCGCACAGCACATTTGCTTTTTCCAGAGGTGAAAAACCTCTTCTCTCCCAGCTGTTCTGTTCAAGAAAATGACCAGCAGATGCTCCAGACTCCCCTGCAGGTATGACAAGACAAGGGAATGAGGACTCTGCCCTTTCAGTTCCTCCCCACCGAGAAATGCTGCTTCAGTACATTAATAATCCCTTAAGTCACTAATTCTACTTCCTGCAAAACACCAAGAATGCTTTATCTTGGTCTTTTGGTATGGAGACAGGTTAAAAAAAAAAATCTCAATCTACTATGGCTCCTGTATATGTAGAGAAATGAAAGGGTTTTTCTTCTTTCATCTTGTACCAATGGCCCTGAGAGCTGTCTAAAATCTTGCTAATATTCTGGACACTTAGAACTTTCTGCAGTTAGGTTCCTGTGTTAATTGCCTTATTCCAATGGAATAAGTGGTTCCTATTTCTGTAATGCACATCTTCCAGCTGTAATTTTACTGGGCTGAGATACATTTTGATCTTTGGACTGGGTTCACTAATACGCAGTGATATTTGTTTTGTTCGTGGTCACTAATGGCATTTATATTCTCCATAATCCATAAGTAAGCATTATAAGTGGGTGGAAAATGCACAGACCAGCCGGAAAGAAATTTGATGGTAGATCCAATGAGTTTTGGCTGCCAGAGTATCGCTGTATTTTGAAAGCAGTACTTTTGGCAGCCTTATTTTGGGGCTGGGCCAAAAAGCACCTTTCTGAGTAATGGATTTTCTCTGTAGGGAATGGGAATAAAATCCTGTGGCTACCTGCTTGTTGAATAACTGGACTCACTCTGTGCTTGCTGTGTGCTCTCCCTTTCCCCTGTCCCTCCCTCCCCAAAACCCACCTCCCTTCATTCTCCAGGACTGTTGTGGGAACTGCAGCGAAAGTGAAGAGGAACCAACTCACCTATGAGCTGGCTCAGAAAAGAGGGCAGTAGCTTACAGTCAAACACATGCCACCAGCATGTGCATGGCTCATCGTTTCAGGATGGCAGCAGATTCCCACCCCACAGGGGAAGTGTTCTAAGACTGGGGAGAAGAGGAACCTCTGCAGAAACCTTCAGTGTACTGCCAAGGAGCCATCTTGCTGCTACTCTTCCATGATGATAGGGTGATGATGGCAGGAGTGAAACATTCCAGGGCTGGCCCTGACCCCAATCTTTGACCTCCCTTCTGCTCATCTGCTGGAGTTTGGTTTTTTTTATATTTATATTAATGTAAATGTGAATGTATGTATAGAACATATGTACATTCTTAATGGTTGGAAAAAGGGTCTTTCTGCATTTCCCTCTGCACTTCCCTCTCTAGCCCACCATCACTGCTTCATCTTAGTGAACAGTGTGCACCAGCCTTCCCCTGGATATGATGATGGAAGATGCTAAGGTGTGGCAGGTAAAATGAGAGAGCTGCCACTGCTGGTATATCCAATCTGCAAGAACAAATGGAGGATCCTGTCCCCAACTATTATACACTGTTGACTTGCTATGTTATCACAAGGCACTGTAGAAATGATGGCAACCATTTTTGGTTTCCCTTTGGACTTGCAGATATGTCTATTGTTTAGGCAGCAGCCCCAGATTGTTCTTGGATGACAATCTCTGAATTTTATCTCTGGAACTTGGCTTAATGAGGATAACAAATCCTAGAATATCAAGTATAGTTCCATTACAACTAGTGACATTACACTGGTTTCTAACTTTATTTCTGTTGTGAAACTCAGAAATAATAGGGATTGACATGACCAAGTAGAGTTGAAAAGTGTTCATATCTCCTCCTCAGAGCCTTCATGAAAACTAAGCCTTTTTTTCTTCTTCCCTTTCTTGTACTACTTTGCCCTCTTTCCCCTCCAAATATGAAGTGATTCTGTTATCTTTATTCCTGGTTGTTTTGCAAACTGCCAGCTGTACTCATGAAATAGAATACATATTCCTTAGTCTGGAAGCTTGAGCAAAGAGCCAAGCTATGTTGAAGTGGGAAGTCTGAGATCAGATCTTCTGGCATCTTCATCTGCCTTGTAAAGCAGGTAGAAGTCTCTATTTTGGAGCAACATTGCTGAGGATAGAGGTTAATCATGTTTGCTTGCACAACTTCCCCGTTCAAACTTGCAAACCCCAAACTGCTGTTAGGCTTGCAATAGATGAAATATAAGCACTTCTCTTGTCATGCAGTGGGGCAAATGCAGCTTTGGAGGACCAATTAATTTGCCCTTTGGCCAGGAGCACAGTAGAAATAAAACAGTTGGGAGATCCAAAGACAGATGCCCTGGAGCTCATGTAATTTGACCCAAAGTCCTGATCCACTTTCCATATGGTAATCTTGTATGTGGTCTTCCATGATTTGGAGCCCTGGGCCCACCCAGAACTGCACTTGTGCCTTCATGATACTCTCCTGAGCAGGCCTATTTCAGGCCTGCTTAGTGCTGGGATTAAAGTTTCTAGTCTTATCCTTGACCCATGTCTAGAGTGCAAATCTTCCATCTCCCAATAGCTATTTCCAGCCTCATCCTGTATTTGTGTAGCTGCCTCGCTTTGGGACAGGTAATTCCATTTCATACTTCACCTGTGGTACCTCATGCTAATATTGCACTGTACTTGGGAATACTGAAACTATTACTATTGTGTTAATTGTTAGTACTGACTCGTCATTGCTGTGGTACAGAAGGAGATGGCGTGAATACATCAATAGGTGCTGAACAATCTCCTGCCGATGCACTCTAGGAATGTGGAACATCAACTATCCTGCCTTTCTGTTATAAAGAGCAGCCACCATGCACACCTTAGTGTATGTCTGACCGCTTTCGTTACTGCCTTTCACCCTTGGCGGCTCTCTCCACCTCTTGATGCCTCTGACAGACTGCTTTTCACAGTCTAGTATATCTGCTGTCTTAGTTTTTTCCTTGGAATTTCTAGTGGAACATAGTACAGGGAGTCCCCGGGTTAAGAATGCCCGAATTACAGACGACCCATAGTTAAGAACGGAGCCTACTGCAGCAAGATTCAAGTTAAATAAACAATTATTCGAGTTAAATACACAATGGGTCGAGCTCATTACACAATATTATACAATAATACTGTTCCAGCTTACGTACAAATTCGACTTAAGGACAGACCTTGGGAACAGAACTCGTTCTTAAACTGGGGACTACCTGAATGCTATTTCAGACCACCTCAACATGTGTTTGTCTGCATTTTGTCTGTCTTTTACTATTTCCTTTAACTTGACCCCTCTTTCAAAATTCATTCTGGCCATCTGAGATTTTTTTCAAAAAAATAAATAAATGGCTGAGAATGTTCTATATGAATTTAAATTACTAAGCCTCAAGCAATATCTTAAACCAGAGAGTAAGGTTAAAAATAGAAAGCAGGCTGCAGCCGTGCTTGCATAGGTATTATGGAAACAAGGCTGCGGATCTATTGCAGGGAATCCTAGTATTTAAATTTCTGTGTATTGCACAATTAGTAATGATGTCTATAATTTTATCATTTAAACTGTAGTCATTTTTGAATTTTTTTAAATGTGACCTAAGCTTTCTTAAATGTACATATTGTAAAAACATCCGTGAAAGAAACAGTTTCTCAAGTGTGAGATTACTTGATTTAATAAAATCTACCATATGTTGCTAAGAAGGAAATTTCATATTTCTGTTTAATTAAATCTGGGAGTATGGATTATTTCCTATTATAATAAAAATGTTTTATTTTAAACATGTCCCATCAGGACTGTAGATGATTCAGAGGTAAAAAATTTATTTAACCACAAGTCTAAGGGTAAAAAGCAAAGGTTTAGCAGCCTTGTTCTAGTGTCAGCTTCGTATTCTAGTTTCCAACTCAAGCTGAAAAAATAAAGCTTTCATCAAATCTGGAATTGGGGAATAACCTTAGCTACGAAGGTTCTTCTTGAGAACAAAGTCTTGGCTGCTTCCAAAGTATTCATTAACCAGTATTTTCCACTCCAAGTGGCAATGGCGCTTCAATGTCTCCCAGCTCTTACTACCATTTCTTCTTTAAAAACATCTTCCAGGAATTGAATCTGCAGGCTAGGGGTGTCTACAGGATATGGTCAAAAAAGTCAAGGTGGCACCCATGACAATTACAGGTAGTCCTTGACTTACGACCACAGTTGGGACTAGAACTTCCGTCGCTAAGCAATGCAGTTAAGTGAATTGCACCCAATTTTACAGACCTTTTTTGCCATGGTCATTAAGTAAATCACATGATCGTTAACCAAATCTGGTTTCCATTGACTTTGCTTGTCAGAAGTCCCCTGGGAAGATTGCAAATGGCAGTCACGTGACCTTGGCACACTGCAACTCTTGTAAATACATGCCAGTTGCCAAGCACCTAAATTTTAATCACGTGATCGCAGGGACACTGCAACAGTCATATGTGCGAGGATCAGTTGTAAATCACTTTTTTCAGTGCTGTAGTGACTTCAAATGATCATTAAACAAATTATTGTAAGTCAAGGACTACCTGTAGTCAAAGCGCTGCATGTTTTTTAGGTGTGATCACATTATCAGGACCACCATATTGACTTTTTTTACCACACCCTGTGGACACCCCTGCTGGAGTATCTTGTATGTGTTGTACCAATGGCCTGTAGATCCTCTAATCTGACAGCTCCTCCAGTTAGTTAGACTTTCAAGTAGGTATTTGGTTTTTATTTGATTTAATTAAGATTAGAACCATAGTTAATATGCTGGAGATCTGTCTTTCCCTTGTATCTTGTTTTCAGGTTCATGCTTTGCCAAACTATAGTAGAAGCCAGATGCTCTAAAATTAGGAACAGTTTTATGTTTTATGCTCATTTCCATTTTTTTTCCTGCATGATTGCTAAAACTCCCGTCTCATTTGGATATCATCTCTCTCTCTTTTTCTTTACTTCTTGAGGGTTTAAATTCTTTTTTCCCTTTTCCTTTTTAACTTAATTTGTACCTATGTTTGTTTGTTTTCCCCTACTGCTGTTTAAAATTGTATCTATTTTTAGATTCTTCTTTGTAATAACCTGCTTTATCATCAGTATCAGCACTTTTATGAAATCTTTACTCTTCTTCTGACAACTGTTGTCTAACCCCTGTGTATCTGTGTCTACTTAGCAGCAATGAACAGGTGCATAAAGAAAACTATAAAACTGTGAAGATATGCACTATGTAAAGCAAATATATCTGCGGAAAGAAATTATAGCATGCTATCCTCTACTTCCTCCAAGCATGATTGTTTCTGGAACTGTTTTCCTTTATCCTCTCCACCCCATCTTCCCTTGAGCAAAATTCCATTAATAAAAGGACCTTCTTCAAAGATCCTATTAGGGATCCATTCATAAGCCCAACAATTGCAAGCATGCTTTATGAAAATACTTAAAAAGGAAGTATTTGTGGGAGTAGCATCTCCTAAATTGTTTGGCGGTTTAAGTATATTACAAATCTGACATTACTCTTGAAAAGGAAATCAACTCAGAGTTTCTAATGCAGCTCTACAATATCTTTGAATGTCATACCTTCATCTTGTTATGAAATAATATTCATTGAAAACAGAGCTTGGTACTCATTTTGCTGGAATGTTACATGTCTTATATGTTAGGTACAAGCTCCCCCTAAATAGCCTTAGTTTTACTGGTGTTTATAAAACAAGTGCTGGAAAAACTTCAGATTCATTAGATGTTCTTTCTTAATAGAAACCAAAGTTCCATCAACTGAATACATCTGGGACAATCTATTCTTGGAATTAGACTTAGCTAAGCACGCGGTCCTTTAACTCAAGTCCATTCCTGGTTAGAGCAAGTGTTTTCCATTTCCGCAATCCTATATGACAAAAATGTTATTTTTGCATCTGTTAACCAAGTCAGGAATCTACGTCACCACAAATCCCAGTCTGTTTTCTGCCCACCTCAGCTGTAACACTCTTGTGTTTTACAGAAAACCAAAGCCACAATCTGACCTAGGCCAATGAACACTTCTGCATTCTCCCTAATATCACAACAGGTAGCAGCTCCTAGCTGACATTTACTGATCTCTAAAAAAAAAACAACCTTAAACAGAATGGACCTTATTAGTGCTTGGATGGGAGACTATCAGGAAATCCCAGGGCTCTATATCTGACTAGGAATTCAAGAAAGCAATGACAAACCACCTCTGTATTGTTACCAAGAAAGCTGCCTGGCCTTGTTCTTGAAGCCAACAGGAGTCAGGCTCAACTCCAGATAGCCTTTCCCTTCATGACTGAACTAATTCTCTCCTTATTCTACAGTAGGATATTCTATTTCCTACACCTATCAATTATTAGGTGGCCAGAATATTTGTATTGTTGGCTGAAGGTGGGTATTTTGAGGGTAGGTATTGTGTTGTCAGTACACTAACATGTACCTCTGAATTGGTGAGAGGCAGACAACAGTTTGTTTATACATGCACACTCAACTCTATTTTCTACCCCTTTATGCCACTCTGTTCCAAAGGACTTAAGACTTGCAAGGTATTCTCTAGAGATCCTAGCTTCACTTGCATAGTATGGCATAAGTGTGCTTGTGGTAAACTCAGCTTTGATGGTACTTTGGCATATGAGCCAAAATGTGTCAGAACTGGCCAGAACAATCCTTGCTGTTGGCAGGAAATGTTGCATGTGGCAGGGGTGTGAGTAAGGCTGGTATTCTAGTCTACATCTTCTCTATATTGCTAAAAAGTGTTGTACGAAAGCCTCCGTTGACTGTGGGTAGTGGTGTTCAATAACTACGGTGACGACCATGGCATATAGAAGATTGCAACGTGGAAAATAAGAGAAATAAAAGGTACAGGCCATAATGAATGAACAAAAAAAGTAGATGTGATATGGGTCTGAGAAATGGAGAAAAGGGTGAAGGAAGTAATAGATCTAAATGAAGGTTGCCTACTTTTGTAGTACAGTATTATGAATGAGAGAGCTAAAAATGTATGTGAGAAGGCTTGTGGAAGTTGCATGTTACACTCCAGTGAACGGTGATAATGGAAGACTCAGAGATGAATGTGGGGAAAATTATGGACATTCTGAATGAATGCACTCCAGGGGAAAAATTATTCTGTTAGGTGACATGAATGGACAGGTAAGAATGAGATGAGAAAGTAGACAAAAAGTGATTGGGCCATTCCAAGATCCTTGATTGAATAAGAATGGTGATTAATGAATATCTGCTTAGAAAAAGATCTGTTTCAAATATGTGATTTAAACATAAGCCTACTTCTGGCACAGGAATCAATATAAATTTTAAAGCATTTGAAGTTCGATGACTGAGCAAGCAGAGTTGGCAGGGGAGTTCAACTGCAGAGAGAGAAGATACAGAGAGAAGAGCCAAGGAGAGGAAGAGACCACTGGCTGGCTGATGCTGCTGTTTCCTGAGTGCTGCTGATTGCCCATTGTGTGTGATTGGAGCATTGCTTGCTATCGACCTAGTTGAGCCATCTTCAGGGGACATCCTGTATAAGGAAGGCGGCTGCCCAGAGATTAGTCTAACCGAATGAACAAACAAGGAGAAAAAAACGGGAGTATGACAGAGGAGATACTTTATTGTTGTTTTCTGTTGTTCATCAGATGCTGAAGAAGATGGATAGGAGTGCTCTCATGACCTACAAGGATATGCCATCTTTGTTTTCTTCCCTGAACATGACACAAAACTATCTGCAAGTAGACAGCCCTCCTGGAAGAGAAGGTGAAGGGGCTAGACACCAAATTACCTAACTTCCAGCTTTTGGGGGAAGGTGAGGAAGTATTGAATCAGACCCAGGAGGTGCTTGAGAAGGGACAAGAGCACTAAGAAGTTTCCCAGAAGATAGAAGAAAGCCAGACACAGGAGATGGAGCAGTGTGACACAAAGGCTCACATCTGTCAACCAAAGCTTCTATACCTGGGACTTGGATAACAGATTTCTGAGCCTCACCATTAATGTTTCTGAAGCACCAGATAAAAAGCAGCTGCCCAAGCCCAGGGACTGAAGAAGAGGACTCTGTGCGTTGTCCAAA